GTGCTTCGCCCCACTGATCATTATTCATTTCGTGGATATGCTTTGATTTTGTTGCTCAAAAAACCTACTTAACCACCGAAAAATGAATGGTGGTCCCAAGTGCTCGCTGAAATTTTAACTAACGTACAATGTTCCCGTTGTTTGGGATATCTCATCGAGTACTCCTAAAATAATATAGAAGTTTCTGTGTCCCCAGGGCGCCATTAATGCAAGGCTGTAATTTCAAATGCATTGGGCCGGTAACACCGAACAAAAGTGCTCCTACAGCAATATGCACGAGAAACAAATTCAAGAGGGTGAAGTGGGTCACAAGATATAGATTCTTGTGTCCCGCTGTACATTGTTCCGTTGTGTTTACGCTTCGGAATATTTAGAATGCATCAGGTTCATTTGGCCTTTTCATTGTGCGTAATTGTGATTTGTATTAATTCAGTGAAAGTTGGAAATTTGACAAGCAAGGTAGCTTATAATTTTATTTAGAGCTTAAACAAGGTTCCTGTTTACAAGGTTCACAAGGTTCACAAACAAGGTTCCACGTAAAAAACACCGTCAATAACGAGACACGAGAAAAGAAGTATACAGACAGCGGCACTGACTTACAACAAGATTTATTTGCTAAAACCGCACAATATAAACTTCAGCAGTATTTTTTATGTGAATCATGTCGTACCAACTCGCCCAAGCAACCACGTTAGTTAAACAAGGAGACTTCATCTGTGAAGATACTATTGAAGAAGGAATGGTTGTATAGCCACCGATATCTTCTTACATAATCAGGTCGATAACAGTGTGCTTTCACTTAATTCTTGGGTATTTGGTGAGATTTGTTTCGTTTTCAAAAACCTCACCAGTTGCGCCAGTGCAGAAAAAGACAGCGAAAAAGAAAATCCCGCATGTATACCACGCCAACTACCAGCTGAGTTTCTTTTCCAAACACATGCATATATACTCGTGCGAACAGTGCCTTGCATGGCACTGTCTAGTGTTGTTCATTTTGCTTGTCTTGGTTGGGGTTGAATTCTACGGTGATGCTGATCAAACTCGCCGAAAAGGCCACTCTTTTGAAGTTGTCAGAAAATTCTAGATCCCTACCTTCTCTAGGCTGTCAGAGTTTCCGACTACGAGAAACTGGTACGACATCAACAGTCTGTGCTCTTTTTCTCCTAAACACATCGAGAAACAAATGAACTTCATCATGCACTACTGTAGAGCACGTGTTGCCTTCAAATAACCGACGAGAAAACTGCAAAATACTTGAAAGTGTCACAGGTAACATTTTTTTCATTGATTCAAAGTTAGACCCTCAGTGACACTTTTGAGTATTTCGCCAAATAACAGAAAAAAGTGAAAGATGCAGCAGCTTCGACATTCTTCAGCTCCATTTTTAAATAAGACAAGCAATTATGTTGAATAAAGGGTGGTACATTCGGCCAAAATTTAACTATCTAGCGCAACAGCAACTTTTTTGTCTCTCGGCGCCTTATTGAAGAACAATGTTACAAAAACTTGGCCCCATATTTGCATGTTACACTGCAAATATCGTCGAAAGACGGCAGTCTTGCGTCTGGTGAGAATGAACAAAACGTTTATTTGATGATCTTCGCAAGAAAATTTGTGAATGGTATTCCAGAGGCACTGCGTTAGAATGCCTAGAGCATGCAGCGAAGGCGAACGAGCGCATCAAGTCACGTCACACGTGAGACATGAGCGCTATCTGGCAGTTATCTAAGGTGTAGAACGCAAGGCAAGGAGTAGGCGCCACCACCATGTCGTCTTAGCAAAGCGTTGGAAACACTTGCCTTTTCGTGCAAGCGTTGCATGGTCAGCGCAACGTGATAAGCGCTACGGTTCTTAGAATTACTTATGTATGCCTTTTCTAGTAAGAGACACACATACAGAATGTCGACGTGTTATTGTGGTGCCTCAGATATGCGCAATAAAAGCTTTTTATTTGACACTCGTACGAGCATGAAAACTGAATCTTGAACAATATTGTTGGGCGCAGCGGATGTGGTCGGCATGTTTGGAGCATCGTTTGGCCACTTTATTGTCGTTTAGGGTACCGTTAAGAGCGGACAAACAGACAGATGTACAGACAGACAGACAGACAGACAGACAGACAGACAGACAGACAGACCAAAATTTTTGTGTCGAAGGTCCTCAAGAAAGACAATCGTCTTTAAAAATTGCTTCGTAGACATGTGCATTGTGGGCATACACTTGTTCTCAACTTTTCTATGACTTATCACAGTTGTACAGCATAGATAAAACAAACAAACTGCCACTAATGCACAATAACTAACAATTTGTTCGTCTGTACACTATTGGTATTATGTGTCGTCTGAGCAACGTTATTATTTGCAACACTTAACCAAAATCATCAACGTAAACCGAGTTCCCGTCACGGGTGCTCTATCTTTTACTGTATTACACGGGCTGCGGACATTATAATAGAAGTTTTCTGAACGATATAAATTATATAGTGGTGTCCATTCGAAGTGACAATACCAGTCGATGAAGAAGAAACAAACGCCCATATATACATACTACGCCGTCAGGTTTCTCAATTGGTTATCATATATAAAAACTTTGGTAGCTGTGGAAGCGAATGGAAGTCACTGAAGCTATCAATCTCCTCACAAGAATATTGCATTACCACAGTATGAAGTAATACAAGAAGGTAAGATTGGGGCACTGGAAACTCATTCCGTGGTGATGCTTGGTCGACAGTGACCCATACATTATTCCACCATCCCTCCCTTGCACTATACCTTTTCCATAAATACATGGTTTGAACGGAAAGTGGGAGGACTGAATTTTCGGAAACAAAAACGTATTAACGTGATCGCGATAAAAAGTTCGTTTTGCAGACGTCACGCCGTCGGCGTCATCGTCGTTGGCTGTGAACGAAAAATGATCATCTTGTGCGTGACCTAAAAAGTGAGTAAGATGCAAATTAAAGAAATTCAGGGCCTGAAAGAGGACCTAACATGAGTCGTTTGCTTGGAAAGTGGGTGTTCTTCCACACAGCCATGCGTCTGCTTGTGAATACGCAGGAAATATGCTCTGCTTAAAAAATCATAGAAAAAAACTTTTCAGTTTCACCAACACATGTCTCTTTCGTACGTGCTTCCAAATACAGCATGAAATATTGCAATATTAATGCGTGGTACAAGCGTACATTTACATCGGGTGTCAAAACAAGTGATTAGCAAAATAACATCATAGTTTGAGCCGGTCACTCATTTCTGTAGGTTAACGTAGCGGATGCATTGCACGTTCGAAAAGCTTTCATGCACTAAGTGCTTGAACTACGCACTAGAGACCGGATAACGCTATCACGTTCAACTCTTAAAGGCGAAGCCTGAGGGTTCCTGAATGTTTTGACAATTTATACAAACTGACTTAAAAGTTTTTGAAATGTGCCTATTCTGCATCAACACAGTATTTTCAGCGATTATGTCAATTACTGAAGGCTCCCTGAAACGCAAAAACTGTAATGCTTTTCAGCTCCTTCATCACGACCTCGTCAATGGCCTAGACAGAACCATGGTGCCATTCCTTGATGACGAAATGTTGAGGAAAGTGAAAGCAGTATGAACTAGCAAGATCTGGGCTGTAGTGTGGCTGAAGAAGATGTGTAGGGCAGTGTTTGCTCAGGAAGTCCCTCACAGCAATGCTGGTGTGGCCCATCATACCGTCGCGACTTTTCGCTGTTGAACAGCAGCGAAAAGTCGCATGACAGTTGCTTGTCTTTAACCTGATGTCTTTCATCTTGAAACAAGTCTATCAAGTCATAAACACTTGATCGACCTGTGGAAACACTGCCATAAGCAGTCTTGATTATGTGAAGTCCCATGGGTCTCACTCGCACTTCCAAGTTTAGAAGTCTGATGCAGAACTTACCACGCAGGACTACTTCCATAAATAACATATGGCAGGGCACGATGAAACGAGTGTCTCTATAGACTTTAGTTACACTCCGTGAACACTAGCAAATGACTGGTGACCATTGTGGTAATAGCTAAGATTCCCCCTCTCCCTAGCTCGCATGTAACCAGTCCAGTAACAGTCCCCACTTTTCCTAAGTTTACGCGGAAAGAAATCAGTCCTACTATTTTCTGGACAGGTCCTGTATGCTTACATCACAATGTTCTCTTTGCATTTAGCCACGATGCTACTCTTCTAGCAAAGAGAATCCACCGTTAAGATGGCCCACCTCTCGATAGATAGATAGATAGATGAGATAGATATAGATAGCTATAGTATATAGATCCGATAGCTAGATAGATAGATAGATAGATAGATGATAGATAGATAGTATAGATAGATAGAGATAGATATAGATAGATAGATAGATAGATAGATAGATAGATAGATAGATAGATAGATAGATAGATAGATAGATAGATAGATAGATAGATAGATAATAGATAGATAGATAGATAGATAGATAGATAGATAGATAGATAGATATCGAGGCCACGAGATTATTAACTCCGTTTCTTGGGAGCAGAACTGTGGGCCGCTAACTTAGGATAATTGACATCTTTCTACAAACAGCAGCACTGCTCCGACGCGGTGGTTGTATATTTAATTGTCATCTGGTTCTGCGGTCCCTAAAAGTCATACTTTTAGAACGCTTCTACACTGACTTTTTCCGAAACTGTTCGGGAACGAAGAAAAACTCTGCTTTCATTCAAGAGAGTATAGGCCATGTCCTGGACATCGCTTAAGGTTTACTAGTCATTGTACTATACAGTGTATTTATATGAAAAGGGTGCCTGTCAAAAACGGACTCCATGAAACCATGAAGAGCATTAGGATATACTACTCAAAAAATCAACCAATACTTTTGCATTATATACTTCTAATATTTCAAGAAGCTCAATCATGATAGAACGTGACTTATTTTAATAAAGGAGTGAAAGATTGCTTGTGAACTTCACAGAATAAGCTGGTAGATTTTCGGAAGCGCACTTCCTGATCTGTAATGAAGCTCGATTTTTAATATTGGTGTTAGCGGTCAGGGTATTTAAGACAAAGTGACGGTCCTATTTTTCATTCGTCACCTTCCGTCTACCAGCATGAACAAGTGTGCTTTTCTGCTGATCCTGATTCTTTCAAATGCCATACCGCTACTTGCATGGTCACGTAAGTGTTTCTCGTACATTATTACGAATTACTACGATATTTTCGTAAAACTCATCGAGCAACCATTGATTGTTTAGGTAAAATATTTTTGTAATACCAAGAGCTTGTCATTAAACAATTGGATGGAGTTTTTGAGAAGTTGGCAGCAAGAATATTTCAACAAACGCTCACCTCAAGGGATATCACATGTTAGAAGAGGTAAAAAGCCTTGAGTCATGGCGAGATATAGAGGACATTTATTGTGTAAAGCCTGTGAGTGAAGATTTCAGGGTCCTATATGCCCGATCCTTCATCCCTTTTTCTAGGCCACTGCTCGCCGTGCTCGAGCGGCGAGTTGACGCTGGTCGGTCTGGTCCGGCTGGGAGACCACTGCCTCCCACGCCTCACCTAGTAGGTTTGGGGTCCGTATCTGTTCCTGTTGCTTGTAGCCTTGAGATTCTTCTTTTGCACTGAACTAGGAGGTGCGCCCGAGAGTGCCACATTGCCGCGCGGGAAGATGTAGCTATGCAACGTTGGCCTCATATGGTGTATGCTGTAGGTGAAAGTACTGCTTTGAAGGTGCATTTATTCGGTGCATTCGTCTCTTGTGAATTGTGGACGTGGTGGGGGTATAACATGCGTTCAAGCAGAAAATGTTTCAGTATTGCATGACACTTTAGGGGTACAGATTCTCTTGCTTATGCTTGAGTGGGAGGTGCCTCGTATCTCGTCGGGGATGCCAGGAAGACGCATTCACCGGCCACGGTGTGTACCGCTTCATTTCCCTCGAGACTTTCATGTCCCTTAACTCACACGCTGCATGTTCATAGGGAAGAGTGTTCATCTGTTTGTTTTAGCAGCTTAATCACCCCTGTGGAGACGCTGCCTTTCAGGTAGTTGCGTGCCACTGTTTGCGAGTCGGTGAAGCCACGATAGGATCCTCACTCCTCTATAAATGGCAAGTGCTGTAGCACCCTCCTAAGCTGTGTCCGCACGTTTGGCGAAGATGGTCGCCGCTTGCAGTACCATGCCCTTGCAATCTCTGATAGTAATTGCGAAAGCGTTACGTGCCGGATACTAGACTGCGTGCACGTATCACGCCTGCAGAATAATCTGATGATTAATCCTGATCATCTTAACCCTGGCGAGCTGCCTTGCTCGGTGACGTTGAGGATGCATGTTGCGAGGGATCTGCTGAACTTCAAGGCATTCTCGGGGCTGCGACAGTATTGGGTTCTTCGTCAGGATTCAGGGTGGGGTAGTACCCTGAGCTTTGAAGGACGGCTCCCCCTTTAGTGACAACTTGAGTCTGTCGACATGCTTGATGAGGCGTGCTTCGGCGAGTTTGCACGCCTTGTGAACTCCCATGAGAAGCAATCGTTCAGTGGAGGCAACTGGGGGCAGTCCTAGGGAAAGATTTGTAGCCTTTCGTATAAGCAGATTTAGTTTTCGTTTCTCCGCTGTCTTCTGGTTGAGGTAAAGAGTTCCGTACGTTATGCGGCTGTAAAGAAGCGCTCGTGCCATTTTAGGGTGTTGAGTTTTTTGAAGTCACTGCGGCGGTTAGCCACCCTTCGGATTAGGTGAGTGGGCTGCGTCACCGTGTTCTGCAGCCGGGGTAGTGAATCGCAGCCTTATCCATCTTTATGTATATGTATTTTAAGGACTTGAAGTGAGTGAGCTCGTGGTATTTGGACTCCTTGTATAAAGACTTGTGGGTCCGGTGCATCGTAGCTTGGTGGTCTTCCCCGGGTGCGTGCCCCAAGTACTAACCGACTTTCTCGTGCAGATGGGAGGCCGCACGTCTTGAGATATTGTTCAGTGATGTTAACCACTTTCTGAAGGCGGTCCTCCTGTTCACCCGTGCTTGGGTGTTTTGTCCACATAGTCATATCATCGGCCTATAACGCGTTATGTTCTCAAATGCCTCAAGCGTATACGTTAGATGGAAAAAAATATGGCAGGCAGCCATGTCGGGGTTGGTATACAGGGTGCAACTGACTGGAGGTTGCTCTACTTTCGAATGAAGAGCATCGGCGTAAGCAACTGTTCTTCTTCGTTGAATATAGTTGCCTCTTAGTGACACTTAAGCAGTTGTTCTAAAGGTGAGATTATTCTGAGTAAAGTTCAAACCGCTTTGCAGCCTGCACAAAGTTTGAGTGAAGTAGCAAATTAACCTATGGCAATGCGTTTGCCTCCCTTGGCGGAAGTTATTGTAGAATTAAAGTCTGTAGGCAGAAGACAAGCCTAGGTACTCGAAACTGTGTCCGTGTGTACACAGCGACACCGGAAAGCTTTAAAGCACATGTGCAAGTTACTTTGATGCATGATAGAGCACTTGATGAGCTAAAACATGACTTTCGCTAGCGAGTTGTCTTAGGCCAATGTGTAAAAGAGAATTTGAGATATTTCCATCTTTTCACTGGCTTTAAACAGCACTAAACATTCTCCCTACTGCTTCGTAAAAGTACCAAATACAATTAATAATAATGGTTACAATCCAAATCCATCGAAAAGATTTTAGAAAGGGTGGCCCCGACACATTTTTATGTAAAATGGTCCGTTTCCTATTAACGTACTAACAAGCCATTTTTAGCAATTTTCCTTGAGCATTGATTTTTTTTTCAATTGTGGTACTTAAACATGTACGTTGACGATACTACTTGATTAATTTTTATAGCTATTGAGTGCCACCTGTATTTTGCAGCTCAACCTAATACTACGACTGCTTGAAACAGAACGGCTTTTCTATTTTAGCTGTAATTGTTTTTTCTTTGTTAGTCCGCCCTCTTTTACTTTTTTTTTACAATTAATAATTTCCAGGTAATCGTAGGTGGTTGTACGCTGAATAGCGGCGTTGCCCGCGACGACGTGAGCAACTATGCCGCCATGGACTTTTTTTATCATATTGTTGTGATTGGGTCTCAGTCAGAAAAAACTTATTACTACTCGGCGCAAGCCAACCGCAATGTTTCGTAAACTTTGAGATTGTCTCAAATTTTGCAACTAAAGTTATGCACAAATCCTGCTGCGACAGCCGCAAGTCGACGGAGATGAAATGCCAGAGCCGCATGTACTTAGACTTTATTCCACGTTAAAGCACGCCACATTGTCAAAATTTTCAGATCCCTCCACTTCTGCCGTCCTCATAATCATATCGTAATTTTTGGACGTAAAAACTGAACAATTATTTCTCAGATTACGCGCAGTTTTGGTTACCTCGCGAGCTACGCATGCACCAGCGACGACACTGGAAGGTGCAATCACTGGGGTATGAATACAAGACGCGTTGTGTGGATGATAAGGTAAGCGAAGACCAACGACACTTATTGCCGCTATGAGAGTACAGCGCACTTTGTACTTTTGGTTACAGTGTTTTTTGGACAAACGTTAGCTCAGTAGTTAGTTTCTGTTCTACAGGAACGGCCGCCACTTTTTCCATAGTGACAATACCGTAGATCTGAGGCATTTCTAAAGTGCACACGTGCGCTTGCTCAAGAAAATTGGTTGCACGTTAGTGAGTATATAGATAATGAATGGTTTACGCCAGCAGGTAAAAAGAATAGGAAAAATTGACTTTGATTGGTGTGTGGGTTTAACGTCCCAAAGCAACCGTATTATCTTAAGAGATGCCATAGTAGAGTACTCTGGAAATTTCGACCACCTGGGATTCCTTAACGTGCACCCAAATCTTAGCACATGAACCTACAGCATTTTCACCTCCATCGAAAATGCAGCCGCCGACGCCGGGATTCAATCCCGCGACCTGCGTTTCAGCAGCCGAGTACTTTAGCCACTAGACCACTACGGCAGGGCCGAGAATAAAAAAAGTAAAAGCAGCTTTATGCGCTCTATGCATGGGTACCTATACACAAAATGGTGCACGAAAATTTCACCACCAGCGGTTTTACTGCTGTACACAGCTCATTCGGTATTGCAAAAAGGTCTTTTATAAACAAGCTGACATTTCACATCGGTATTTGCATCATCGTCTGATGGCTTCCTATTGAAACTTGTGTGATTAGATGGCTATTCGCTAGCTCGTCAGCAAGCTCAGCAGTGACTTCCATGAAAACAGAAAACACAAGCAAGAACCGCTGTCAGCGAAGTGTCTATGTAACTCCCATCTTAAACAGTTATATGAAACTCTGATAGGTTCTCCGAAAGTAAACAAGTTTTATTTTAGACAAAACTTTTTGAAATACCAAAAATATATTACATCAAAATTAAATTAGGAACACTTCAGAAAGTTTTAAGCCGCCGTTTTTGTGTACAGGCGTTCAGTACTAGAATGCGGGGGCCTACAACAACAAATTTGAGAATGTATCGAAGTATCTTAAGACAGCATGGGCAAATATTGTATCAGATAAATTATTACGGCAGTATCTTGCATCTATATATACAATACGAATACAGTATATTTATTATCCACGGACAAACAGTTCATGGCCCATTTTGCCTAATACAATGATGGCACCAGTAGAAGCACTAAAGTGAATGAAAAGATTGAAATATCTCAAATTTTTCTTTCCACATTGGCCTAAGACAACTCGCTAGCGAAAGTCATGGTTTAGCTCATCAGGATGTCCATGTCGTGGGATCTTGTAATTTATCGCGATACAATTTCAAGGTATCTTTACCCAGCCCTGGGTGCGGACCTAAGGAGCCTTGCTCCTGAAACTTCAGTGAGGCTGAAACGTCCATGTCAGAGAGCAATTTATAGGCAGTGACCTCTATCTGTGTTTCCAAGCTGCCTGTAATAAAAACTTTCATGTAATCAGCCTGCGAGACAAATGTTGTGTTGTCTGTGCAGTGTACAATGACCTTTATGTAAAAGGAATTTCGTCCTGTCTGGAAGATAAGATTCAAAAAGTGCTTGTGCTGTTACGTGCACTTTTCAGTTTTCGCATTTGCTGAGAAAAATGCTATATATATATATATATATATATATATATATATATAATATATATATATATATATATATATATATATATATATATATATATATATATATATATATATATATTGATTTTTATGCAGCTCCCTGGTCTTCCTGGAAGTTACGAGACTGGCTCAAGAAGGTTACGGGATGGTCAATGCGTACTGGTATGCGCATCTCAGACTGCTACATCATTATTCCCTTCATGTTCAACGAGAAGTCATTGTGTTCTCTGGTGTCCCACCTTCAATGACAAATGCTTGCAGCAACTTTGCAAAACACTCGTTGGTGTAAAAGTTTCGCCCAGCTAAAGTGGCAATATTTGCTAATGTATATCTTTATGATAAAACATCTATTGCAGTAATCATGAAATATCCAACTATGCTTGACCGGCCTAGGCGTACTTGACCCAAATCAGTAATCTAAATGCTTCGAAAGATCTCACGCATTTTTGCACTCCGCTTCTTTCAAAGCAGCAAGCGAAAATATGCTTACACCGGTATTTCGAGCTGTTGTTATCAACGTCCTTGTACAATTTTGGTGGAATGCCTAACGAGGACTCACCAGGTATGCCGACTACACTGGCATCTATTGGGTGACTCGTCGAGTGACGTAGCGCGAGCAGTCACGTTACAGCGCAAACGTTCCTGCGCTGTAAGGACGCAAAACGCAGTGTTAGACTAGTTGCCAGCAATATAATATTCCTGCAACCCTACGGAACTTTCTTGAGTTATAACAGCGCATGTGTAAGCGTTTTTTTTGCTTCTATTAAACCACCAGCTTCTACAAGTTGTATGTCTTTCTCTTGTTTATTCCATGCTATTGCTTTTTGAAATCTTAGATGCCAGTGTTCGTTGTCCTGAGACATGGGTTTATATTGATACTTGCCGCTCATACCTGTCGCTCATACGCCCCGTCATACGCTCGACCGCCTGTCGCTCATACGCGCGTGCCATGTACCATTGTTGGCCAGCTACACACCACAGGGGACCATAGGTAAGGGCTTTACGAAGTATGCGACGGGCTTATAAAATTCAGAACATGACCGGTCAGTCATATGCATCATACCGTCCCACTTTTTAACGCCACTTTTTCCGCCGCAAACACTTTATACGCAGGCATTGAAAATTACCAATTAAGTTTTGTACAGAAATCCCCAATGAATACTGTACTTTCTCGTACGAACTCGGAGTGCAACTTTTTGTTGGGGCAACGTCCGCTCCTCCGAAGTGTTGGCTTTGCGCAGTTGTATCAATGTAGCATTCGTTACATATTGTGACACAAACTGCCAGTGCTCGAGTGCTACGCACAGAGTGAGGTAATAGCAAAATGCAGACAGCCTTATTAGGACAACTGAGTTGTCCTCAATATGCGCCCTAGCCCTGCATGCGCACGAGCTCTGAGTGTGTGGCAGTGCACTTGACGGAGGACCAAAGTTAGGTTAGAGGCCAGTGGCTAAAATACCGGCGTACTCCACGTTCACTCTCTTTCATGCTCGTTCGCTCTATCGGTTATGCCGACTTCCACGCCAACGGCGACCATGCTCATCGCAAAAACGGGCATCTGAGTGCAGTGCTCCGAAACGCCATGACTTAGCGCAAATCTCAGCACATTCCCAGCGAAAGCTAGAAGAGTGGCTTTTCTTGAGCCCTCATAACTCTCTTAGGCAACTAATACAAATACCCATGCGTGGCATCTACTACAGCAGAAATCATACTTGTTTTCATGTAGAAAAAACATCCACTGTGCTATTATTTATCTTTTAATGGCGAGGTAACCGCTACAGATCTCTAAAACGTTTTAAGCTGTCTGTCCATGCTACATGACGATATTAAAAATGTTAGTATTTTTTGCAGGTAGATGACACCACTTGTCAATGCTGAGACTTTTGTGCCTCACTTTTTTTTAATTGCTTTTTTATGATATTAACACGCACTCGGGTCTCCTTCAAGGTATAACTTTGTGCGCAACTAATGAAATCAAGCACCCTGTTTAGATATATAAAGTAATGGTGTCGAATTATTTATAACTGAAGCTCTACAATTTGAGTGGTGAGGCTGAGGGTTAAATGTGTTCAATTTTCTTTTTTTATTTATGGTAAAGACAGTGTTAGAAGAATGAGTTTTTATTGTTAAAGTGGTAAATGAAATTGCATAACCTAGTAAGGACATGGAGTTAAGGTGCAGGCACTTATCGCAAATGGTAAAATAAAAAAATGATGACAGTGACCATAAATAAGCAGCCGCTAAAGTTAGGATACCTTAAACAAGTTGAAAAGATAACGTCTGAATGCAGTGTAACAAGGAATTTAAATGCTGCAGCCTTTTCAAATATAGGTGTTCGAACATAGAAACCAACCTCTGTCTTGCACAGCGACATTTTGATGCCGGTTCCTGCTTTGAGCGGCATCATCATCATCGGTAACATTGCCACATAAAAGTAGTAAAATCAAAAGAATCACGCCATCTCCCACTAAATGAAACTATGTGTAGATGCAAAGCAGCGAGTGCTAATGCTTGCACTGGCAGTGATGTTGACGATGGCACTGATCGTGGCGTTGCCAAGGAGAGAAACCTAGGCAGGCGCAAAGCTTGCAGTGATGGACCACTGTTTGTTTATTGAAAGAAGCCATTCGCTGCTAATTGGCAATGAGTTACAAAAATATCCCATTGCACACAGAGATCCGCAGTTTGCTTTTAGTAAAGCGCTAGCTGCTAATTTTTATTGTTCAATAACACATAGAAGAAATCTCCCACTGGCACCTCCTTGGAGGTAAAGATCCAGTCCTTAATACATGGAGTAGCCAGTGCATGGTTGGGCAGAGCGAGCAGTCAGTTTTTTTTTTCAATCACAGAACTCGCTAACACCAGCAGAAGCGTCCTGCGTCAGTGATGCGAGGTGAAAGAGGGGTAGCGTAGGGGAGGATAGAGAAGAAGAGAGGACGCGCATTCGCAGTGGTGGTGTAAGCGTTGCGGGAAGAAATGGCTAGAGGAGGAGGTGGGGGGGGAGCATGCGTAGGTTTGCACACCGCTTTGCTCGGCTTTGCAAGGTGAGAGGGAAGGGGTAGAGTAGAAGAGAATGTAACACACCCGCGCCGATGTTTGAAAGAGGAAAGGAGAGCTGCGCATGCGCAGTGCGAGTGCGGACGCCGACGCCGCGGGACATGGATTCAAGTAAAAGATACTTCGCCTCTAAAACAACGTGGGTAGAATGCGATTAACACTCGGGCCGTCTGCGTGGTGGGGAGTACCTAACATAAGATCCACGCTGGCGCTGAAAACTCACTTGTAAAAAGGCCTTATACCAGCGTAATGCTGGACGAAAAATCAAGGTAACGTATGTAATATAGCGTGGAAGAAATTATAATAAGAGCCAAACACCACACAATGCTCATTGCGCCCTGAGTGTGTGACGTCACGCTTCCCACCTACTGGATGGTCCTCAACCATATTTCTTCACTCACCTACAGCATAAACAAGGTGCTAATACTGTGTTATAGAAATGTAGTGCGTGCCTGGCTTTTCTGCAGAAAGAAGAATGCTGGCGTAGTGGTTGGCATCCTGCCTCACAAAAGTGAAGACATATGGCGCAGTCGATAAATTTCGTAAGGCCAAGACTTCAAACACAGTTCGCATTGTACCAGCCCGAAGCTCACCCCAGCATTCGCATTAGGCAGGATAGTAACCGTTGGTTATTTTTCAATAGCAAATGTTTTAGTGAAGTTGCCAGCAAGAAGCATGGGACTATGAAACATGCTGAAGTGGATGACACTGGAATACTGCAGAGTTTGGGATTCTTTACCGCATACATTCACACCGCGCAGTACAAGGGTCTGCGGGATCACGCCTCTATCGTAATGCTGCCGCGCGTCAGCAATTGAAGCCGCATCTCTGCTGAGCACCGCGGCAGCTCAGCCTCACTTGTCAGTGTCATTTTTTTTCAATTGTATGTCATCTCCACTATACTGGCTTCTTTTTTTCGGCGTAGTATCAAGAAGATAATTTCTCCTGCATGCTCTGCCTTTCTGGTGAAATCGCACTACAATGGCTTACGAAGGCCAACAGAAAACTAATGCTTCTTTCCTGCTACAGAGCATGGTATTGAATTCATTGTTATTATTCTAAACTTCTTAATCAGTGCTTCTAGAGCCCAGAATGTCTGATATAAAAATAATCACCTTGTGTGATAGATAACGAAAATATTTCGGCACAAATTAGTCATTGGTGCCACTACACGACAAGCATCATAGGCTACTATGATAGTTCTGTTCCAATGCTCCTAAACTAAAGCAGCTAACTTCAACTTGATTGCTTACTGCGTCACTTATTCTCTATTTGCTCATGTCATAAATTCTGTGTTTTAAAAAACGTGTTGCTCTCAGAATCATATATTTACGAGCATCTTCTTTTTCTTTCAGTAAAGCAACCGAACAAGACAGTTACAGGTATGTAAGGTCTATAAGAATGATATTCAGCCAAACCATTTCGTTGAGAACTATTCAAATGTTCGTATCTTCATAATTGAGTTCTGAGCTATTGAACAACGTTTCTCTATATATCGTGTTAGCAGACAGCCGTTCACAGCATCACCACTGAGTCTAGGCACTTGTATCGACTCCAAGGTGCTTGTTCTCGGCCCATAGCTGGCCATCACCTCATATCAACAGAATACGTTTATTGGAGCAGCAGCTGCGAAATGCTGTCTCCAAGCAAATGACGTACGTGCGTCTGTAACGGGTTCAAGAAGGGTCGCCATGACAAAAGAATCCGCAGCGACAATAACGGCGACTCCGAAATAAACCCATGAAAACTTAGTGCGTGAACACGTGAATAACTGGGGCAATTTTATGCAAATAGCGGGCCTCTCAACGCCGTGAAGTTTACTGATGTGTAGTATAGTACTGACTGTGCTTTAGTGCAAGTGGACTAAACAAGTTTGAATAAGTCTGTCTATTAAGAATATAAAGCTCGTATGATCGTATGGTAAGCCAACACAAACACACACGTGCGCGCATATATATATATATATATATATATATATATATATATATATATATATATATATATATATATATATATATATATATACGTTTCTAAAAACTGTTTATTGGTGACGTTTCAATCGGAGACCCATGTCCTTCAGGCAAAATTTACTAGGCTCAAATGCGCTTTTACGCCATCGTCCAACCGAGACAGTGTGGAAAAAGGGGCACACGTAAACGAAAGGCTGAACAAAGCATGCTTGGCCAACCATTTTTTTTTGTTACAGTACGCAGAGAAATGTTACCCTTGTAATTAGTTTCACTAATGATTGCAGGACTTTTATTGTTCAAAAATTAAACTGTTGCCTTCAAATTCAAATCGCGTTCCTCCATCCACGTTGTACTGTATCTTCAACTCGGATTATAAGAAATTTGTAATTGCTAAAAGACGAAATCATGCACTTAGCTCACTTATTTAGGAACATGAGAGGTTGGTTTCAGGTGCCAGTATTAAGAATCGATTATTGCCTTAGCACCCAATGCTTTCTATTACTTTACTGCTTCCATGCATAATACAGCAATGGCATGGTTTAAAAAACATCGAGGTGAAAACATCCCATTCTCCGAAAAACATTAATGTGTGTTTTGATTGAACATTGAAAAACTAATTCTTGCACTGATCGAGTAAGAGTATCACTTACACTTTCGTTTTCACAGTATCAACAAAAACACTTGAGGTGGTTAGATACCCTCTCTTTCAGGTCCCTCTCGAAGGGAGGCTTCATGAATGTACTCAAGTGCTGAACAAAGGTCGAGTGACATTCAGACTCGAGTAGCTGTCACTAAAAAAATGGCAATTTTTCGCTTATCTGCACAACGATGGGATTTGTTGGTTCTGGTATGTTTAAAATCTCGAGTACAAAGCGTTGGGACTAAAAAAATGGCAATTTTTCGCTTATCTGCACAACGATGGGATGTGTTGATTCTGGTATGTTTAAAATCTCGAGAAAAAAGCGTTGGGGTAAGGCATGGTGCGATTTGAAATGACTGCAAAAAAAAAAAAAAGGAGGAGCAGCTCGAGGAACATGTGCCTTTTCGATTCAAAAAAGTGAAAGCACAGAAATTGGGAAGACGGATGATTTAGGACAACATGAAATTCACGCTCGTGTGGGGTCGTTCTGACTAGTTTATTATCCTTAATTTCATGCTCTGTTATTTTCTTTTGAAAACTAAAATTTGCCTACTAGGCCACACATTTATACTTTAACTTCTTTATAATTTCCCTAAGTAATGTATAAGCATGACATTCTTGTAAGAAACTATGATTGTAACTTTGCGAAAAGGCTCTTGTTCAGCCACATTCGCACGGAATCTTTCATACTATTTTTAGTCTTAGTGCGCCGACCCAATGCAAGGTTAATATTTTGATAACCAAAACGCTCGATAAGGTTTAAAGCTTGGTTAAGAAGTCGGAAGTACTTTAATGTGCAGAATGGTCCTTGTCGACTTTGAATCATGTTTCACATATTATTACTGATGGAAAAAAGTGTAAATTTGAGGACACGCTTTTCTTTGTTAGTAGGACTAAATTGGAGAACTAACAGTAAATACTGCCAAGAGAAGTGTAGGGAATGCTATCACAAGTTATTGTAAGATAAATGTAAAGAAATGAAAGTGAACGAAAAGATAACTTGCCACAGGCAGCGAACAAATGTGCGACCTCCGAATAACGCTTCCGATGTTCTACCAATCGAGCTGCCACGACGGTTATCCCTTCGTCAACTTTGTACGGCTTATACATATGCATTTAAAGGTGGGAGAGTCAGTTAGCCCCACCTGTTCTCATTGTGAGTGTACAACACACCATCACAAAATATTTATTGATATTTTTATACATGGCGTCTTTTTGCAGCTTGTATTCTATCACTATAGTATCTATCGAGCGTGGCCACGCTTTGAAGTTCGATGTTTAGTTCACCGAACCAGATTTGTGTTGTTGTGCATGTGTTGTTGCCACAAAACACCGAAAAGATGCTGAGCCCAATGGGTATGACACTCGGATTCTGCAAGAGGGATAAGTTACTGGCGTGATTATAAGGTCACACATTCCGACAAAGCTTTTTAATTTATGCAGATTAAAAAAAAAACGCCCAGAACTCATGGCAATAAGCCTTTTCGTGTGCCTTTTCAAGACACCATGGTACCGGAGTTTTTTTTCTTTACTGGAAAGCTGCTAAAAAAGGGGGAAATAATAATAAAAAAAACTCGTCTTATGTTACTGGCGTGATTATATGGTCACACATCCCGACAAAGCTTTTCAATTTATGCAGATTAAAAAAAACGCCCAGAACTTATGGCAATAAGCCTTTTCATGTGCCTTTTGAAGACACCTTGGTACCGAAGTTTTCTTTTTTTACTGGAAAGCTGCTAAAACAGGGGGAATAATAATAAAAAAAACTCATCAATACTTGGTTAAGCTCCATATCCAGCACTCCGAAGAAGGCAGTTCCATTTTATGATTTCATTTTTAAAACAGTTTATTTTTGAGACAGAGATATGCGCAGTTTTCTCGTCTAGCTGGACGATAAATGGGTCCGCATTTAACGATTCTTCTAAATACCTTCTCAAGTAACTCTATTTTCTGAATAAAAAGCCACCTTCTGCATTGAAGCCTCTCAACACTTTTGATCTTACGCTGTTTATATTATCCGTTTATTTCATATTACTGCTTTCATTGTGTCTTTGCCCAACGCTTGATCAATTCGTATACATACGCCCAACCAACAATGACGTTTGCACGTACAACTAACTGTTCGACATCCCATTGCCTTATCACGTGTGGCTGTAGCCGGCGGCTGTAACGATTTTCAAAGCAGCGAAGAATGTCAGAGAGATTGCTTCAATGTTAACCAAGTAGTAAAAGAACATTGGCCTGAAAAAGATCTGAAAATAGTATTGCGTGAATATATTTGCAAGTGTACTTACAAACCCAATTATTGCAGCACTGCTTGTCAATCTGCCTTTTTAAATTACTTTTCGTTTTGAATGCTATCACGTGCCACTGTGCTTAGGTATAAAAACAGGACAAGCTATGGTCATACATTATGTAGTGCACTGAATTTCCAAGCGTTAAAAACTCTCTATGAATCTGACCTCTTCGGTGTCGATTTTCTTATTAGATGTGCAATATCTTAAGATGGGTCTATTTAAAAAAATATACCACCGTTTTTATAGCTGATTTTAAAAGATAATGAAAGCCTACTGTAGCTGTGGAATACACTGCTGTTGATCAAGAGTAAAAACTGAAAAAACAAACGTGGTTGTGAACGAAGTAGAAACCGCACAATCAAACGGGCAAGGATGGCTTTGGCATGTATGGCGCCTAAGTTGTTCCTTTAAAAAGCCGGTGCTCAGGCACACCAAAGTATGGTGTAACAGCCTCAGTGGCGAAAGAGGTGGTAGCCGCAGACTTAACCTGGTAATACAGCGTGAATAGCACCTCACGTCTTCCCACAAAAAGAGGTTCCAAGAGAGTGCAACAGGTAAAGTAACTGCCTCAGTCTCCAACAAAGTAATCGTAGCTCAAGGAAACAGGAAGGGCGGCTTGAGCTATATTAGCACCTAACGTCATAGTAAGAGAGGTGTGTGCGGCATTGGCTACCACACATCCTTTAACATGCATCGCTCTTCTATAATGACGTATTGTAACGTTGTATTTAACACGTGGTATAGACACTCATGGTATAAAACAAAATATCATAGAATAATCACAAGAAAAACACTGGAGAACCACGTCTCGTTTTTCTGCCAATTTGACACGTTACACAGGGGTAAATTACCTAGTTCTCTCTTGTATTTATGACCAGATGTAAAAAAGAGCAAGAAACCGTTCTGTTTATTTTAAGGCAAACGCCTTACTGTTCTCTATTTTAAGCTCTAGTGGCGAATAATGAATGAAGTTAAATTTACTTGCTCCAGACTCATTGTACTTCAGCCCTAAGGTGGGTGGTCTCCTCAGTCCAGGTAGACACGGCTTGCTGCCACCGCCTGAGCCCTGTTTACCAGTCATGGCTAGTTGACAGTATCTTGAGTCGTGAACATTTAAGAAACATTGCGTGTACGTGTGAGCTCTGCGTCCAGATCAGCATTGCTGCATTCACATGAGCAAGAACTAAAAACTTACAGTATATCCATGAAGTGAATGACGATTAGTAGGGCAAAGCGTCATGCCGTTCATTGGTTCATGTGTCCGTACATTCAAGAATGCATCAATGCGTCCGATCACGTTCGAGATGGCCGACGGCGTGCTGTAACACTGACGAGACGCGAGCCAAGGAAGCCGAGCACAAGCGTCTTCAACGCGCCCACCGCTCTGCTTCGTCCATGACCCACCAATGATCCGCCACGTACGGCGACTATCCAGCAGACTGATGGAGGCACTCCTTCCTCACGCACCCACGCAC